AACAGGAAGATTGTGTTTCCCTAAAATAAGTGTGCTGGATTTTTCAGAAGTACGCGCTTTAAAAGGGAGGTTTTTTTTTTTTTAAATCAATGGAAATTGGTGGTTTTTGATTATCTTTTGACTATACCAGTCAAGAGCCCCCGTCCCGTACCCACGATATATATTGATACGAAATAAAGTTACTGGCGATGGTAATAATGGTTAAGCCCACTTCACAAGTTCCGACATTATATTTACTACTACATCACCAGGATACCGAGTTATATTAAAACCGGGCAGTTACGGCGAAACTTGGCGCGGCGGCGATAAGTCAGTAATGAACTACAGCGTCGTGCATTTGAATGTGCGTCACACTAAGAGGATATTTATCGTGTTTATATTTGCTCTCCGTAATTAATACGCGGCAGTGTGACGCACGTAGATATTTTGCTGATAAACAAAATGGTAATTTGTGTCTAAGCTCCGGCGAGATTACCAACTTCTACTTTGACCGTGACAGCTATGCAAAAATCTCATGATCCACGAGTGTTATTGGCATGTACACCTATCTCAAACATGTTTCATTGAACTTTTACAATCTGTTCATTCCATCTACATGCTTGTACGTGCACGTACGTGGGTGCGTAATTGTGTCTATATTCCGGGCGTACTTCTCGGCAAAAAATACAGAGATATCCAACCGGCTGGAACCTCCGGACAAAAATAGAATGTCTGCAAACGACTTCAACTTTCAGGAGATCGCGGTACTTAACAAACCCAACGTTGAGTATAAAACCCAATATTTGAGTATGACTGAACAAAACGTGTCCGGTTGCCCGTGTGGCGTACTCAGAAACAAATACCACGTGGTAGTGAAATTCGTCTACTGCCACCAACATCACCGCGTCACTTTTCAGAAAAGCTCCCATTTCCGTTCAACTTATTATTTTGAATTTCATGTTTAATTAAAGGTACAAATAACTAGTAATTTTGGTACACATTATATTCACCGTGAACTTGGAAAACAATCATGTGATAATTTCGTTATAATGTTGATATGTCTCCTCCAACATATATTATTCAAATGAGCACCCTATTTGACCGTATAAGTGAAGCACGGACTGTGGGGAACACGAATGCCAACAAACAGAATCGTTGATTTGATACCGTGTCTCGAGAATATCGCGGCGTACTGTCAACCACCTGATGAGTGCGTCTCCTGCGGTCTGAACTTTGCTATCAGTCACGGCATCGATCATTAAAGTACGGAATTCGGCAAATTTCTCGAGTGCTTGTCAATAGTGTATGTGAGTGTGACGTCATGTTTGCACTGATGGTATCTCGCAGCATGGACAGTGTACGCACGTGTATCTGTGGGTTCTTTTCTGTGTCAGTCAGAGGTTACCAACCTCGGTTTAGATTTAAATGTAAATGTGTACACTACGACAGCGGTATCTCAATTGATGCGTCATTGATGACACGGTTGACATCATAACACGCGTTTTGATGGTTGTGACGTCACGGTTATCTCCATTCAATCCCAGACAACCAATACGCCTGAGATTCAAACTAGCCCCGATTTATATGCCATATTCAGTATGTTCCAACATAAACATGGCCAATAACAGCGAAGTTCTTTGGCAGTAAAAACGGTGAAAATGTCAAACCGACCATGCACGCCGATACACACGTGGTATTTTGTCCAGCTATTAAGTTGAATGTGTAATAATCACTACATTATATCTTCCCATGGCATCACGACTTGCAAAGTAAATTATTGATTTAAAACGAGACAGATCCTAAGAGTCGTGGTCATTTGGTTGCATTTTGTCTGCACGAGTTGGTAACCGTGCGAGCCATGAATGAACGATTCATACACATTACTGATGTGATCGAGTGTACCTCATACTGCGATATATCTACAGCATGGGTCATGATGGATAAAGACTCCTCGCTGAAATTCCCGTGCATTTCTAGCGACGTTTGTGCAGCACAGAATATTTATCACGCACACTCATCGACAGTGCACAACACACAACTCCTTCGTACACTGCACGCCAAGTACGAAGCGATCGGCACGTAATATAATCATGATCGTGACTCTACATACCTGGCACATATTGTCGAGGACTTTTTTCCTGAATAACCTGTTGTAACGTTTGGTCGTTTCGTCCGCCTTCATACAAGCCATCTATTAATGAGTCGTCGATTCTAAGAGAAAACGGAACAATTCACATGAACTGAAATATCGATTATCTATATATAATGTGATTAATTGCCTCGCAATTTGCAAAAAACTTGTAAGTGGGCTTGACGACTAATCGGCAACGGACTGGGAGTATTATCCGATAAATAATTATTTGTTACATTATTAGAGTGTCACAATAGTGAAATAATGAAAAATATTGTAAAAAAAGTGAAGAATGATTCCACGTTTATTTTGAAGTGTTATACAGCGATCAATTGGGAACACGGAGTACACCTGAAATGAAAGACAGTCTCAGTCTCCTGCAAATAAACAAACTTATCAAAACTACCCCCTGAAATATGAATAACATACGGTCACTTCAATAACAAGTTTGAATGTTGATGTGATGTGATGTGATGTATTCAAATTATACACTTTCTGGTGACAAATGTACCGAAATAATACTATTAAGTCCGTGATTGTTTCCCGTGAATCGAATAATCAATGTCCCGGCACCGTTTTGCCATTCCCGGTATATTTGTTTGTGACTGACAAACGCACAAATCGCAGCGGTCTCAGTTCACGCTAAAAAACTGTATTAAAATTGGTGACAGCTTGACCCCGGGCTATTTATTCGCTCACTGATCACTGAAACATGCCTAGTTCGTATCTTCCAGGCATATGTGTAATATTAGCCAAGTGATACAGAACATACACTGGTTACTACGTTACCAATGTATGCGGGTATCCAACAGACACCGGAACTCAAAGTAAGGTTGATCTGATTGCATCGAACAACCTATTTTACGTCGAAATTCATTGCGATGAAACGTTTATTTTAATTATTAAATTTGGGATATGTTGCGTAACACGCATCCTAGCACGCAGAGTAATTTACGCGACCTTGTTGTTGTTGTCTATGCACAGTATGTTGTTATTGTCGATCACCTATAACAGTAAGACTCACTTAAATATTGTCATAAATACTGATATTTCCAACGGAAATCATGTCGTGACATTTAGATATCTCAACAACCCACGTGTTTATACAGTGATACTGTTAAATATTTTCCTCCTGCGACCGATAACTCACTTAATGTCTACTATGGCCCACTCGAATTTCAATGGACGTGTCAACACGTGTCGCCGGGGTACATCTAGCTGAAAACGACTTGTGGACGTGGCACATTCCCGCGTACCTTTTCGATGACTTGAACATTTACTAACAGTACCAACCTTTGTAAAAAAAAAAAAAGCCTTGGAACTTGGGCAATGTTATAAATATGCATACGATATGTGCATATTGCAACAACAACAAAACTTTCAACCGCATCCACTATAGAATAATCAGTCTGCGAAGTCTATCTTCAATCAGAAAGCACGCGAACTTTTGCAATAAATAATGTTTTGTGTAAAAAAATCAATTTCATATCCTTTATAACGCGAGTGTCCACACAAATCGGTTGGTAAAATAATATTTTCTAAAATAAATGACGGAGCAATTAGAAATTTCAGAGGCCAGTTCCATAAATGATTTTGGTGTAGAAAAATCAATATTTTTTCAAAAGTAATAGCTCAACTTTTGAGGAGGGGTTCACGGGTACAGAAAATTGCTACAGTGTTTATGCTGGTTCACTGGTTAATTTCATGATCCGCGTCGGTTTAATATGTCGATGATGATGATAAATAAGATCCTGTCTTTTAGAATCTTTGGCGTGCAAAACATAGATGTGATGGATGATAGAACTGATTTCATAACCAGTAAAATATTCACAACTAGTTAGAATGGGAAAAAAACTCCGGTAAACACTGATTGAGTTGTCTATAGTGCCTCGGTACTCGATGGATGGTGTTTTCCACGTGTTAAACGACGAAGTCACTGGTGGTCACCGTGTTTCAATGTAAAATCAAACAGTGCACAGATAACATTCAGACATGCAAACAAATCAGTAATCCAACATGGCTCATCCGTTGGCCAACCCTCCTCACAAACACGTTCACAGACCACGAAGGCATGCATTACATATGTGCAGAAATTTGATGAGTGAATAGAGCCTCGCGTGTCTATTAAAAAAAAACGTTGCTGTGGACGCCTTAAAAGTAACTTACATTTGCCGTGGAATGTGTAGCGCTAGTGCCGTCGGAAATAAAAGAAAACAAAATAACCCTGTATAAAACGGCGGAATCCAGCCCCGCATCTTCATGGACATCATCTGTCAATGATGTTTGCTATCCTGTATCCCCGAATCGTTCAGCAAGTACCGAAGCAACTATATCGCACTGGTGCGAGTTTGAACGCTTGTGAGCACTCTTTTCGATGTGCTCCGTTTATTGGCGTGACAAACAGGTATATAACTTCAACAGTGGCAGCCGATTAGCAAAAAACTGTTATCTTATCACTAAATCTTATTGCCATGGTTACATGGGAGAAAAAAATAGGGTTGTAGTGTGAAGATAAATACAGCGAGGAAAATGATGTGTTCTGACAGCAGGAATGATACACGGCCTGTTAAATCCGTGCATTGCAGGTTACTAAGCAACAAGACACGCCTTGTTCTGTGATTGGCTAATAAGTTGTTGGCCGTACATTTTTTGTTTTCATGATGATATACACGTTGGATCAACGTTATATTATTTTCCATAGAAAAATATACTATTTTTTTCAAACGTTATAAAACATTTAGGCCCTAATGCCTTTATTATTTAAGTCGAACGATTTGATATGGCTAAATAAATAGTGGCAAGGTAGTCGGAAAAGGTGTGTGTGTGTGTGTGTGTGTGTGTGTGGATGGGGGGGGGGGTTGTAATGCTGGCGATTCACTTCGAATGACGTACTCGCACATTTAGTGGAATAGACCGAAATTGTTTGTGGCGCAAATCTCTAGATTTGTAGAAAAGAAACACGCGTTGGTATAATTTTCATTGTTCAATCAATTTAATAAAAAAAACATCTGATGCTTGCTGTTTTAAAATCGTATTCATTAAAAGCAAATTCAATAAAGGAATAGTTCACATTGTGTTAATCATATTGTAATTAAATCACTGTCAAATCTCTAATTAAAATTGAAATTGATTAACTGTTTCATCAGCTATAAGAGCTGATATAAAGAAGTCGTCTCGGTGCCGTTCTGCTGTATTTATTTGCAATGATTATAGAATCGTTTAAAAACACTAAGGTCATGGATTGTACACTAAGAAAGCAATTTCTGCGTTTCTCATCCGTTATGAAACTATGAAGGCAGAAAAAATACCACGTGTTGTTGTCTGACCAAACCAACTCTAAGCCCCGCACTAACCAATGTGCCACGCCTATATCGCGTTGATATCGACATGCGCGATCAAGGAGTATATGGAAACGCAATCTTCGCTTTCCGCGTATCGTATTGAGGTAAGCAGAATGTTATTAAAACGTCATCAACGAATAACGCCAGTCTTTGTTCGGTTTGGACATGACGTACAAACAGAGATTGCCATTCACTATAACGATGGAGACGGGTTAAGTTGCATGACAACGGCTACCTCTCGCAATCTCGAAATGATTTCAAGTTGATTTCTAGGCTCGACCATTTAAAATCAAGGGGGTGACTGAAAGTTTACAAAAATGCAGACAGAGAAAGAAAATACATGCATTGTGTTGCAGGAAAACAATGTTAACACATTCAGGAAAAATATAATTGCACAGATAGGACAATCAGTGGTCACACTCTTCCAGCGACGCCAGTAATTCCAAATGATTGATCCTTTTTATGTCAACTATCTGTAACATATTAAACTTGAATTCCCAATATGTGCCTACTGTGACGTGCAAACTCTGGCGCCTGGTCACTGGTGCCTCCTAACAAAAACTGTTTGAGGCAAAATCTTGTTAAGCCTGGAATCGACGTAGATTACTTAACAAGATGTTTTTACTTGCCGTGGTACAAAGACTTGTGTAAGCCCATGCATTCCTTGACCTACGCTCCATGTTTGTTGAATGGGTGATTAGCTAGCCAAATTATTAAGGCGTTTTATCGCAAATCTGTACATGGTTTGTTAGGGTTTCATGTGAGAAATGTCACTTTCTCTGAATATACAACGAACAAGAAAAAAAAATGACAGGGCTTCGAGAGCCCACAAACGCCACGTATATCTTAATCGTTTCAAACAGAGTGACAATCATTATATTTTATGAAAGCCCATATTTCATCTTTTGTGACGTAGCGTACAAGTGGAGTATCTTTACTTCCGGCGTAAGTGTCGATTTACCCGTGACATGTACCGTAGACGATAAGTACCCTACTAGGAACTTAGTCTTATCTATTTATTACATATGTCATGGCCGAGTATGTGAGTTAAATTGTCAGTGTTATAAATGTTCATGTCGTGAAGATTTTGTGTGTAGTGATATGCAGTGATTTTCCAATAAGATTTGGAAGGGTCCAACACCATCCCACGTAACAGAAGTCATGCGCCATCCCGCGGTAACCGTTGCTTAGGACCGATGGTAGAGAATGAGTTAAACACCTGGGACTGTATTATCTACTACAATCTAAGTAGAGGGTCTCATTAATCACAAATCTCGCATTTAATGTAATAAACATTGCAGTATTATATGAATTAATAGTTTCCTGTCTGCAGTGACGTAATCTTCTATAGATGTTTACTCCGGTAGGTGACATTTACATCAATCGTATTTCTAAAAGTAACAAGCTTCAGGTTAATTGTTTGGACATATAGATCTTATTGCAGCTATTACAGATGTATCCAGACACCAATCTGTAGTTTTTCGATGACGGTTTGAGTTTAATCATGATTTCGCAACTGTATTTATACCGGCATTGCAACAGCAATCGTTTCTAGTGTCACGTGATTACAGCTACAAACGTACAAGAGTTGTTAATACATGTAGGTCACAGTGGAAATTTATGAGTTGTCTGAGGTAGAACGAATTATCCAGTCATATCAAGAATGAAGTTTGACGATGCCAGTTAGCTTCCACTCTATACATTTCGGTAACCGCTGGCTTCTAACGAAATTGTTGCTACTGTTACAGTTAAAAAAATATGGAGGCAAAATGCTGTGAAGACTGAAATTGATATAGATATTAAATTACCAAGGTTTCCAACGTAATTGGTAATTCATAATCACGTGATGTTTACAGCATGAAATCACATGCGCGGTCATTTCAAAATTAAACTACCAGCTGCAGGCACGCGCTAAAATATAAAGAGATTCTATCGCGCCTGACTAAGTTATCTTACCAGATGTCGGAATGGCGGATGTTAAATCTGTTATTGATGTCGGCAATTTGATGAAATCATTTTTTGACATGCCTGACAACGTTACTGTTTCACATCGGACAATTTTACTCAAGAGTCAGGTGCGTGTCCGGTGCGTTGAGTGGATTTCCAGATTCCCTATCCAAACACAATTTTGTCAATAAATTTCATCACACAGAGTTCTGTGTTAACATTGTTGAATATAAATTGCAATGTTTCTTGTCATAACACAGGTTTTTACGGCATATAACCATGATAATTCTCGGGTGCTCTTTGGTCAATTCAAGACAGCCATGGTACAATCTAATATGACATGTGGACGGTATTTACATCAATCGTATACCATTATGTCACCAAAGTTAATCGTAATCCGTGAGATGTATTTCAGACAGGGGGCTGTAGTTTTCCGGCTTTCACATATGTTCTCGTATAAATGAGCCATAGTAACTATTAGAAAAAGAAAATAAACTATACATTCTCGACTACGAACACATCGTGCCAGTCAGCATCGCCGTGTTGCATCCGAACGCGCATTTCTCTGCAAACAGTATTCTGTCGTGGTACAGCGCCACCAAGCGACACGCGCTGTCCGCGGAATGGAACAACGCGTCACAATCGCCATTGACGATGGAACGTTTGGAATGTTTATTTTTTAGAGAATCACTTGCGATCCGCACACTGATTTCTGAACACAGCAGCAGTAATACTGTCAAGTAAGCAAATAACACCGAATAAACGGCAAGGTAAAGACTATGTCTAATTATAGTAAATACGTACTGCGTGCGTGACTCGAACCGGCGCTCGCGTACGGCACCTAATCGCCTAGCTTCACGCCACTATACGTCTTCCCCTCGGCCACCGGGCATCCCCATTAAAGGATGCTTAATAACCGAGCTTATTACGTGCAGAGAACGTGAAACCCGTCCACGCGATACGCGCCACACAGCATACTAATACTGTCAACATGGATTGCCAAAC